TTGTCCTGCCGGGCTCTCACAAATGTGAGCCTTGATAATTTTTTCAAAGACTTTGCCAAGGATGGAGGTGAGACTGACTGGTCTATAGTTGCCCGGGTCCTCCTTCCTCCCCTTTTTGAAAATGGGTACCACATTGGCCCTTTTCCAGTCCTCCGGGACTTGGCCCGTGCACCACGAGCTTTCAAATTAGTCAGTCATTTCTACACCCGAGTTAATAATATCACACCTGAATTAAAGATTTTAGCTAGAGCTAAAAATAGTCTGTAGGGCTGTGAATTAGAAGAACACCATTCCTGGTGGTGTCTAACAAATGGCAAAATTGCAGAAGAAAGAATAATCTCAATAGTGGAACATCAAAAGGAGCATTGAAAAGGAGAGGGTTGTTAACACCTGTGGAATGAAGGAAAATTAATAATAATCAGGTAGATTACATCAGATATGAAGTCACTTGACTCCCTCAGTGCTGCCTGATTAGAAATGCTGATTTTAAAGTTTGATTGGAGTAAGAATCAAACGGTGGGGGGGGGGGGGGGGGGGGTTGCAACTCTACCACTGCACCTCTCCCTTTGGATCTATCCATGCATATATATAAATAAAATACACATACAAAATTAATAATCCTTTTAATAAAAAGGAACATTTCAATCTCAACACTTTCAAAGTACGTGCATTAGAGCAGAAAATTATCAATTGTTGTTTAGAAGACAGTGTAGGACCTTGCAAAGCTTAGATCTCCAGTTTTGAGTCTTATAAATTTGGATATGTTTGTTCTTTAGTGCCTACTTCTCAGAAGGTGCCTACAAACATGCAGCCAAGGTACCTTGAGGATGAGGGTCTTTATACAGGAGAAAGGCCCACTGTGTCATTCTTTAATCAAAACATCCTGGAAAATAGAATAATCAGACAGGAACAGGTAAGTCACTGTTACATTATTGGTAATATTTATTTTATGGTGAATGTACTTTGTCATCTATATAGGAGTCTTCATGATTCAGACCTAATAATTAGTCAAATTCTTGTCATTGTTATGATTTAAGGAAGCATATACCTTATTTTCTCTCAAACAGTACATCCCCAAATAAAACATACATTTTCTTGCGTGTAGCACACCTTGTTTTTTGGAAGGCAGAAAATAAAACTTTTTTTTCAGAATCTGGTTGAGTATGTGACATAGAGTAAGTCTTCCTGGGAACATAGAGTATCCAGGAAGTGTGTCACCCCAGGAGACAATCTGGGTTAAGTAACAGGAGCTTTCTAACTGTCTCCTGGGATACCACACTTTCTGTTCTCCTGGAAACACAGACTGTACTTACTCTGTTTCACACAAGGTTAGGTCCCAGACCCTTGCAAGGACAACAACAAGACTTTGTTCTTTACCGTAAGTAGTTCTTTAAATAAGTTCCTGTAAATAACATGTTTCTTCCACATCAAGATACTACCATTAGCTCACTTGCTGCCTCGGGCATAGCCTACTGTTCTTGTCCAATAGCTGTGTGTCATGGGTACATCCTGGACAAGGGTCAACAATACCAGAAGTCTAGAAGCCAAAGCGGAAGGTCACAGTATTAGGTGTCAGTTTGAGTCTGAGGTATCCCAGTGGGTATTGAGATGAGTCTGGGGTTGAGATGAGTTCGTGCTTCAGTGCCAGAGGTCAAGGCAACCATGAGGCAGGAAAAAGATACAAGGGTAAAAAGCTTGAGCAAGACTGAAGCAGGACAGGAGGATGGCTGGGGGTAGGCAGGACCGTTCGCAGCAGAAGTGAGCAAGGAGGAAGGCAGAGGGGTCCCAAATAAGGCTATAAATGCAGTTGCCAAGACAAAGCTCCAGGGGAAGTAGGAAGACCCCATCAAGAACTTCCACTGGTTCCCCTGGGCCACATGGTCCCTCATTAGGAACCTCATGGGAGGGCCCAGACTAGGCTGGAAATACACTATTTTAAATCCCAGGTCTGGCTACATTAGCATTTTTCTTAACGTGCAATGTTGAAAAAAATGTCAACATAGACAGGGGTCAGTCTGGATCCTTCAGATTCTTGAAGCTTCTAAATAAACTAGAATATGCTTAAAGTTTTATCTTGGAATCATTTAAAGCAGTGATTCTCAACCATAGTGACAGGGTACCCAAGGGTGATGCAAGATCCTTTGAAGGATGATCTGAGGTGTGGTGAGATAAGCAGATAAGTGCAGGCTCAGCCTCTTCCCCACAACTTTGCCCCCGCTGCCTGGCCCCTCCAAAGAGGTAAGTTTTTTAAATGGGGTGCTGTTCACTTCCACAGCTATGGGAGGGTGCCTTGAGTCTAATGAAGGGTGCCTTCAGTCTATTAAGGGGTGTCTTGAGTCTAAAAAGATTGAGAACCACTAATTTAAGGCCTGGTGGAGGGTGTCCATATAAGTTACTCATGTTTTTTATATTTTTGTTAGGTAGCTTCTTAAAAGAAAAGGAATTAAAATCAAACTGTTTCCTAAACAGTGGGGTCTCAGTCTTTGAAATTAATTGTAATTTTGCAAGTCATTTTCTGATAACAATTGCTAAAAAATTAATTTTACTTCATTATTCTTAGGGGAAAGCATGGTTTGGAGATGATGGCAATATCTTGGCATTGCCTAATCCGATTAAGCCATCTCCCACAAGGCCTCCAATATTCTCATTGGAAGAAGGAATAAAGCCAGAACTGGAAACAGTATATAGAAAGGTATTTTGTATATTCTGTTACTGTGACATCATTTTAGTATGGATTACTATACACCCATAAATACCTTATTGTAGGAATGCAGGCTTATCCTGCATCCTGATATGTTTTAGCTTATCTCCACCCCTACAAGGCACTTACAGATCTATAAGCCTATACTTTTATGTGCTGAGAACTTGTGTTTACTTGCCTGACCTGAGGTATGGATTGAAATCCATGTTTTGGTTAAGGTAGGCTTAGACTTGTTCCCCTTGTGAGGATGTAGCCTAAGCACAGGTAGCTGAGCTCTTGTTTAGATAGCACTCTCGTGCCACCCCCCAAGTTCAGGAGTGTCAAACTGGTTTCGTCCTATAGATGGATTTACTCTACAACTTGTTGTAATAATGAAGTCACAAGCAGAAACAGCTTGTCCAGTAGTAGTGGATAGGACAAACAAGTGATCCCACAATACATCACAAACTAATTTTTAGAATGGTTCCAGTTAGTGAGGCACTAGGAATCCTAGAATATGACCCAGAAACTTCCAATTTCTGTCAGTATAGATATAGGTAAATGAGTGTATTGTGAGAGAGAACACTGTGGATATGCCTTATGAGATTTAAGGCATAGCCACACCACTTTAGAGCACTGCACTGAGGCATACCATACATTCTTTACATTCATTACCTTACGGAACTGAAAAAGAGTTTTATTCTGCCATTCTAATAATGATAGCTCCATTATTACTTCCATTTCAAAAGTTAATACATGAGCTCTGACACCAGTTCTGAGATGGTATAGGCATACACTTAATTTCTAACTCAAGATCTTGTGCATAAGGTGTATTTTTGCACTGATATGGCTATACCAGTGAAAACCCATAGATGCTATGAATTCATTTATGAAGAAATTTTCACTTGCTTGAGCTGTAGCAGTTAAAGTCACTATTTACACTGGGGCAACAAATCTGTTTCGGTTGTTTGTACAGTGCATCTGCTTTAGCGAGTGCCTGCCTTAGTGAGTGCCTACATTCCTGCATTCTGTTGGGGTTGCAGACAAGCTTTATGGAAAACTGGTTGGTGTTATCGGTAAGATTCCAAACATTGAGGACTTACATTTCTTGGGGGACTTCACTGCCAGAGTTGGTGCCAACAGTGAATCCTGGGCTTGTATAACATGAGGGCTAGGGACAGACATTACACATAAACCAGCTTAAGTGATCAGAAACTGGTTTAAACCTGTAACAGAACATAAGTTCAGTGCACATTAAATCAGTTTCAAAATGGCTGGAACTGGTTTAAGGTAAACCTGGTTGAATACAGTGTCAGACTAAACTGATTTGGGTCAAACCGGTTTATGCAGTGTCTGTCCCAGACCTCTTCCTAGTTTAAGTTAAAATGGAATCCCCCAGCATCCCAGATACTTTGCAGCCCTGGGCTGTCTGCCTGCTTCAGAAAGTAGAGCTGGCCCTGCCCCTCTGCTCCCTAGCCAGGGCTCTGGCAGAGACTGCAGGTACAGCAGCATCTGCCTGGCTTCCACCTGCCCCACCCTCCCTCGTCACTTGCTGCTCAAGCAGGGATCCCCCCTCCCATTTCAATTTCACTGGGACAGGGCCATGTCAGACAGGACATGGAAGAAGATAATCAACAGGTCAGGATTTGGAGATAATCAACAGGTCAGCTGGTAATGTCCCTCCATTTCTTCCTTGGAAAAAGCTGTTTAAGAAGATTTTGAACTAATGAGAGAGGATTTTGTTTTCTTGATGAGCTGATAACACAGTGTTATCAGCTCCCTTGCCTGTCAGGTTTGCTGCAGACAGTGTGAAGAAGCAGGGAGAGGAAGACTGAAAAGCTCACTATCATCAACAGATGCATGCACTCCACCCCTTTACCTCAGAGAGCTAGGCGGGGGGCTGGCAACACTCCTGCCCCTTGAGCAGCAAGTGGGGGAAAAAGCCTGGGACTGTGCAGACAGGGTGGAGGTTTAAATCCCTCCCTAATCAGAGCATCCTGCCAGGGCCTGCCCCCGCCCTCCCCCCAGCTCAGCATTGGGGAAGGGAAGGGAAGGGAAGGCTGCTCTAGCACCCGCCAGCTTCTAGTGAGAGCCACTGCAGGCATGTGCCTACATTTGCTCAGTCCAGAGGGAATGTCTGTGCACTTGTAAACTGGTTCAATCTCAGCAGGTTATACTAATCTGCAAAGATTAAATCAATTCAGGCTTTTTTAATGTCTGTCCTTAGCCAAGAACCATGAAGGATAATGGACACAGGCTGTTGGAATTCTGCTGCTGCCATAACTTGTACATCACCAACTCTCTCTTTTTAAACAAAACTGTGCTATAAGGTGTCATGGAAATATCCAGGATTCGGTCACTGGCACCGGTTGATCTCATCATTACTAGGCAGCCCAGTCTCACTTATGTCCTTCTTTTATCCTCCTTACAGCTATCATAGCTCTGATTGTAACTCTGATCACTTTCTTATGGTCACTAAGAGTAAACTGAAACTAAACAAAATCTTCTGGTCTAAGTATCAGTGTTTACAAAACATTAACATCACCCATACATCTAATCATCATCTTGCAGTTTTTAAGAGGCTCTGGAGGAGGTTGCTTCAGAGCTGCCTTTGTATAAGACTGCAGAAGAAAAGTGGGGAAGCTTTAAAAAAAAATCTATGTCACTGCTGACTGTATTCGGCAAACAGGTCACAAGAAAGTGGAATTGGTTTGAGGTGCACTCATGAATTGATTTTTTTTTTTTTTTAAACAAGGCCTGACAAACTGCTATGTTAAATCATAAGAATGCTTGAGGTGCAACATCAGAGGAATTTAGGAAAGTAAGGGGTGTTGTCCAACAAATGTCAAGATGGTATGCCAGTAATTATTGGCTGCAACTTCAAGAAAATTCAATCTGCATTGAAGGGGGCATGTATGACTTTCAAGAAGGCAGTAGGTCCAACTGCAAAGAAGTTGGTTTAATTAAAAACAGCATCAGGAGAAGTTGTAGCAGACCAAAAGCAACAGATGGAAAGATGAATGAACACTTAATTGAACTCTGTTTAAGGGAAAGTGATGTCATTGATACAGCCCTTAACTCTTTTGAAAGTCTCTCTACCCTTGAAGAGCTTGATGGTATTCCAGCTCTTGAGGACCTAAGTAAGGCCATAGGCAATCTGGCCAGTGGCAGGTCCCCAGAAAAAGATGGCATTCCCACAGAAGTGATCACATGTGGAAAACCCATGCTTCTTCCCCACCTATATGCGCTTCTTACTCACTGCTACACAGTACGGATGTGCTACAAGATATACAAGATGCCATTATGGTCATGTTATACAAGAGTAAAGGCTACTGCAGCAACTAACAACTGTCATGGCGTCTCACTACTAAGTGTTGTTAGAAAGATCATCACTCTGGCATATGTCATGCAGGTGGTGCTTAGAAGACTTCAGATCTTTGCTGACTGTGCTTACCCTGCAGCTTCAGAGCTAGTAGGTCTACCATAGATATGATCTTCTTCCAGCAAACCCAAGAAAAATGCAGGGAACAAAGGAGACTCCTTGATATTGCTTCCATTGGCCTGACCAAGGCCTTTGACTTTGTCAACAGAGAAGGCCTATTCAGATGATTGGAAAAGATTGGCTGTCTACCAGAGCTGCTCAGCATAATCTGCCCTTCCCATGATGGAATGCAGGGGGGATGATCAGCTTTGATGGATCAACACGTGAGGCTTTGGAGATTTGAAGCAGTCAAGTAGGGCTGTCTCCTTTCCCCAACCCTGCTCAAGACTCTCTTCTCTTTTGACGTATGCTTTTGGGACCACTACTGAAGGAATTTATGTGCATATATGCTCAGGTGGAAAATTAGTCTTCGCTTTAAGCATGTGAAGTTAAATTAAGTGGAGAAAGTTTTGTTTCATGAGTTGCTGTTTGCTGATGACAGTGCACTGAAAGCTCACACAGACATTTAAAACCTCATCAGTTGCTTCAGTCATGCCTGCCAAGAGTTTGGTCTTACAATCGGTATCAAAAAGACCAATGTTATGGACCAGAACATTGGTTCACCACCAGCAATTGCAATAGGTATTGGATATTGTAAGTAAATTTACATACCTTGTGCTCCATTGTTACCAACAGCTTGTCATTTGGCTGATTTGTATAGGCTGACCTGAATACCTGTATTGGAAAAGCATCAGGTGTCATGAGAATACTGAGCAAAGAAGCATGCAACAACAGCAAACTGACTCAAGAAAAGTGCCTCAACAGCTTTCACTTACATTTCCTTTGCTGCATTCTAGGAATTTCCCGTGCCAACATTCTGAGCATCCATTTTCTTCGCAGTCAGCATGAGCATTGATGGCTTGGTCATATGTAGAGAATAGATGATGGCCATATACCTAAGGATATTTTGTATGGAGAATTCTTTACACAGAGGAGACCACACTGGCACCCTAGCCGGCTTTTCAAAGATGTTTGCAAGAGAGATGTGAAGGCAATGAACATTTAGCCAAATGATTGGGAGAAGATTGCTGAAGATCAGAGTGCTGGAAAACAATTAAGTGTGGAGTGAAGGCTTTTAAAGAAAGAAGATCCTAACGTACAGTAGTAAGAATAAACCTCAGGAAGAATCCTGCATCACACTCAGGAGTTAGACACCAACTTCACATGTGATAAGTGCAAGGATCCTACAGCCATTCACAGATGTTTAATGAGTTGATGCCTCACTCAGTACAAATCAGTTTTGTCTGTGCATCTGCTTAGAAAATGCTGTTCCTTAACCATTTAAACCTTTCAGCAGTGTTTGCTAGGTTTTAAATCCTAAACTTTTGAATGCTTCTGTTGGAGCATTGAGAAGAAGCAATGACACTTTAGTATGTGACCTAAGCTGCCTCTTGGCAAATGAGAATATTTCTAACTGCAGTTTTGGAAGTGATTTTGAGAGTTGCCTACTAACTACTCCTAGTGACAATTACAAATACATAATTCTCCATCCAGTCCAGTTCCAAGGACTGGGTCTTCCAGCCTCTGCTGCAAGAGGAGGTAGAATTAGATGCATCTGGCACTAGAAAATGCTTAGCATAGGGAACTCACACTGTCTCAGAAGTTTGATACCTGGCTCAGGATCCATATTAGGTGCTCCTGTTCACCTGGAATCCACAATCCTAGTCCTGCTTCTTAGCACAGTTGCCTAAGTGAATTGCAGTGTCTACTTTTTGCCTAGTAACCTAGTGGCAAGATGACTTCTCAAGAAATGGGAAATTTGAGTTCTAGACCTTCCTCAGCCTGAAGGGATTCACATCCAAATTTCCCAATTTCCAGGAGATTGCCCTAACCTTCAAGCTATAGAATATGGTTGTGTGGGAGAATCTTTGAATCCTGCTAAATCTTGGCCGCTGAGCAGCCAACAATACAAATGTCATAGGACCAGAAGAAGACCAAGTAAGAGAATGTGTTTCTGTAGCCTAGAGATTACAATACCCCCTGCAGGAAGGGAGACCTGGTTTCCAGTGCCTGGTTCAGGGTTTTGTATGCATTTTACATTAGACAATCATTGGTTAAACAAGCTTGGCATGATTAGATTTTATTGACAAACATCAATAAAGGGTGATTTTTCCCACACACTCATGATCCAACAGAAAAATATTTCCTTCGGTAGTAATTGAAATTAATAGAAAAGGGACTGTAACAGGGAACACTTACCCCGTTACTGGACAGTGGCAAAAGACAGATGAAGGGACAGAGGGGTTAAAAAAGAAAACAATGAGTGGCCCAGTGACTTGTCAATTAAGCAATTAGTTTGTCATTCACAGGTGTGAGAAACAGGCTGGAGGCAGATAACAGTCTAGATCAGGGGTGGGCAAAATATGGTCCACGGGCTGCATCCGGCCCGCAAGGCCATTCTGTCTGGCCCATAGGGCCCCTAAAAATATTTGGAAAATTTAATATTTCTCTGCCCTTGGTTCCTGTCAAAAATGACAGAAACCAAGGGCAGTAGGACCCAGGGGAAGCCCAGTGGGCTCCAACAACAGTGGGGCCAGCCCTGCCCCCCAGCCAGGGTTTCTGGTCTGGGAGCCCGTGGCTGCCCTGGTGCGGGAAGCTCGGGTAAGTGCGGGGGGGACCCCGGGCAAGGAAGGAGCACAGGGAGGGTGAGAGGAAGTGAACCCTCCCCACCCACGCCCAGTGTCCCATGCTGCAGCTGCTCGCAGCCTGCGTGGAGCTGCCTGTGCCCGCTCCAGACAGCCCCATGTGGGCTGTGAGCGCCTGCAGTTTGGGGCACCAGGCGTGGGGTGGGGGAGGGGCTGCTTCCCCCCCATGCTCAGCTTTTCCCTGGGCTCCTTCCCTGCATGGAGAAAAGTGGCCCTTCGCCCACCCCATGACCGGTGCTCCATGCTGCAGGCGCTCGCAGCCCGTGTGGGGCTGTCCGGAACAGGCACAGGCAGCCCCAGGCAGGCTGCAAGTGGCTGGGG